CTATATGTGACTTTGGGAATACATTCATTTGCACTAACCTCCACTCCAGGGTATGTTGGATAATTTAGAAATCATTAGAAGTTGTCCTATAAAAACATTCTTTCTCTTTCAAGATTATTTCCTTAGCTTATATATCATTTAATTATGAGCAGCTCATGCTTCTTATCCATTTAAATTGTTTAACTGTTTTCCTCTTTTTCCTCTTCTTAATAGTTGGTCTCACTTCTAATTTTTTGTTTAGTTAAAATCTTTTATTTATTGCTATTTTTCAGATGGGATGAGAGGTTAATGTGTCTTGAAATCTTGCATCTCCACCAACAATCCCCTTTTGTCCTGATGAGTTTATAAGATGTTGTTAATACCTAAAATTCTTGGATCTCAGTCCTTTTGTCTCTATTGTCTGTAGATCCTCTCCACTGCCTCTAGCTTTAAAGGTTGTAAATAACACAATGTAATTTTATAATAATTTCCAAAATTTCTGTTCTTACAGTGTTACTTTTATTTGTGGTTGCCACATCTAATCTTTAAAATGAATTTAGATTCAAAGTTTATATCTGTGTCCAGGAATATATTATAAGAGAATTTTAAGTATTTTTTTCTCTGCAGTATCTCCTTCTATCAAAGTCATTTCATCTGCTTATTTTAATAACTCTTTTTATGATGAACTTTATTGAAGTGCCTTATAACCCTTGACTGTCCATTCATATTTAAGTTTAGGAGATATATAGCACACTCTAACAGACCTGCAGCAGAGAGGTCTGACTACTAGAAGGAAAATTACTAAACAGAAAGATAGTTTCAACAGCAACAGAAAGGATGTCCACTCAGGGACCCCATCTAAAGGTCACCAATTTCAAAGACCAAAGGTAGATAAATCCATGAAGTTGGGAAGAAAGCAGTACAAAAAGTTTGAAAATTCCAAAAACCAGAATGCCTCTTCTCCTCCAAGGGATCACAACTCCTCACCAGCAAGATAACAAAACTGGATGGAAATTAGTTTGACGAATTGACAGAAACAAGCTTCAGAAGGTGGGTAATAACAAACCTCTCTACCTAAAGGAGCATGATTTAACTCAAAGCAAGGAAGGTAAGAACCTTGAAAAAAGGTTAGACAAAATGCTAACGAGAATAACCAGTGTAAAAAACATAAATGACCAGATGGAGCTGAAAAACACAGCATGAGAACTTTATCAAGCATACCCAAATTTCAGTAGCCAAATCAATCAAGCAGAAGAAAGAATATCAGAGATCAACTCAATGAAATAAATGAGAAAGCAAGAAAGAGAAAAAAGAGTGAAAAGAAATGAACAAAGCCTCCAAAAGATGTGGGATTATGTGAAAACCAAATCTACATTTGATGGGTGTACCTGAAAGTGATGGGGATAATGAAAACAAGTCAGAAAACACTCGGCAGGATGTTATCCAGGAGAACTTCCCCAATGTAGCAGGGCAGGGCAATTTTCAAATTCAGGAAATACAGAGAATACCACAAAGATACTCTTTCAGAAGAGCAACCCCAACACACATAATCATCAGATTTACCAGAGTTGAAATGAAGAAAAAAATGCTAAGGACAGCCAGAGAGAAAGGTTGGATTACCCATAAAGGGAAGACCATCGGACTCACAGCAGATCTCTTGGCAGAAACTCTACAAGCCAGAAGAGAGTGGGGCCAATATTCAACATGTTTAAAGAAAAGAATTTTCAACCCAGAATTTCATATCCAGCCAAACTAAGCTTCATAAACAAAGGAGAAATAAAATCCTTTATAGACAAGCAACTGCAAAGAGATTTTGTCAGCACCAGACATGCCTTATAAGAGCTGCTGAAGGAAGCAATAAACATGGAAAGGAACAACCAGTACCAGCCACTGCAAAAGCATACCGAATTGTAAAGACCATCAACACTATGAAGAAACTGCAGCAACTAATGGGCAAAACAACCAGCTAGCATCAAAATAGCAGGATCAAATTCACACATAACAATATTAAAGTTAAATGAAAATGGACTAAATGCCCCAAGTAAAAGACACAGACTGGCAAATTGAATACAGTCAAGACCCATCAGTGTGCTGTATTCAGGAGACCCATCTCATGTGCAAACACACTTATAGGCTCAAAATAAAGGGATGGAGGGAGATTTACCAAGCAAATGGAAAATAAATAAATGAATAAATAAATAAAAAACAGGGGCTGCAAACTAGTCTCTGATAAAATATATTTTAAACCAACAAAGATCAAGAGAGACAAAAAAGGGCATTACATAATGATAAAGGGATCAATGCAACAAGTAGAGCTAACTATCCTAAATATATATGCACCCAATACAGAAGCACCCAGATTCATAAAGCAAGTTCTCGGACACCTACAATGAGACTTAGACTCCTACACGATAATAATGGGAGACTTAACACCCCACTGTCAATATTAGATCAATGAGACAGAAAATTAGAAAGGATATCCAGGACTTGAACTCAGCTCTGCACCAAGTGGACCTAATAGACATCTACAGAACTCTCCACCCCAAATCCACAGAATATACATTCTTCTCAGCACAATATCACACTTCTTATTATAAAATTGACCACATAATTGAAAGTAAAACACTCCTCAGCAAATGCAGAAGAATGGAAATCATAAGAAACAGAGTCTTAGACCACAGTGCAATCAAATTAGAACTCAGGATTAAGTAACTCACTGAAAACCACACAACTATTTGGAAACTGAACAACCTGCTCCTGAATGACTACTGGGTAAATAATAAAATGATGGCAGAAATAAAGATGTTCTTTGAAACCTATGAGAATGAAGACACAATGTACCAGAATCTCTGGGACACATTAGAGCACTGTCTAGAGGGAAATTTATAGCACTAAATGCCCACATGAGAAGCAAGAAAGATCTAAACTCGACACCCCATCATCAAAATTAAAAGAGCTAGAGGACCAAGTTCAAACAAATTCAAAAGCTAGCAGCAGACAGGAAATAACTAAGATCAGAGCAGAACTAAAGAAGATAGAGACAAGGAAAACCCTTTAAAAAAAAATCAGAATCCAGAAGCTGGTTTTTTTTTTTTTTTTAAAGATCAACAAAATAGATAGATCACTAGCCAGACTAATAAAGAGAGAAGAATCAAATAGATGCAATAAAAAATGATAAAGAGGACATCACCACTGATCCCACAAAATACAAACTACCATCAGAGAATACTATAAACACCTCTATACAAACAAATTAGAAAATCTAGAAGAAATAGATAAATTCCTGGACACTTAGACCCTCCCAAGACTAAACCAGGAAGAAGTCGAATCCCTGAATAGACAAATAAAAAGATCTGAAAATGAGGCAGCAGTTAATAGCCTACCAACCAAAAGAAAGTCCAGAACTAGACAGGTTCACAGCCAAGTTCTACCAGAGGTACAAAGAGGAGCTGGTACCATTCCTTCTGAAACAATTCCAAACAATAGAAAAAGAGGGAATCCTCCCTAACTCATTTTATGAGACCAACATCAACCTGATACCAAAACCCAGCAGAGAAAATTTCAGGCCAATATCCATGATGAACATCAATATGAAAATCCTCAATAAAATACTGACCACTGAATCCAATAGCACATAAAAAAAAAAAAAAAAAAAAAAAAACCAGCTAGCATCAAAATGGCAGGATCCATCATGATCAAGTTGGCTTCATCCCGGGGATGCAAGGCTTATTTAACATATGCAAACCTATAAATGCAACCCATCACATAAACAAAACCAAAGACAAAAACCATATGATCATCTCAATAGAGGCAGAGAAGGCCTTCAACAAAATTCAAAATCCCTTTATGCTAAAAATTCTCAATAAACTAGGAATTGATGGAATGTATCTCAAAATAATAAAAGCTATTTATGACAAACCCAGAGCCAATATCATACTGAAGGGGCAAAAACTGGAAGCATTCCCTTTAAAAACCAGCATAAGACAAGGATGCCCTCTCTCATCCCTCCTATTCAACATAGTACTGGAAGTTTTGGCCAGGGCAATGAGGAAAGAGAAAGAAATAAAGGGTATTCAATTAGAAAAAGAGAAAGTCAAATTGTCTCTATGTGCAGATGACACGATTGTATATTTAGAAGACCCCATTGTTTCAGCCCAAAATCTCCTTAAGCTGATAAGCAGCTTCAGCAAATTCTCAGGATACAATGTACAAAAATCACAAGCATTCCTATACAACAATAACAGACAAACAGAGAGCCAAATCGTGAGTGAACTCTCATTCGCAATTGCCACAAAGAGAATAAAATACCTAGGAATACAACTAACAAGGGATGTGAAGGATCTCTTCAAGGAGAACTACAAACCACTGCTTAAAGAAATAAGAGAGGACAAAAACAGACAGAAAAACATTCCACACTCATGGTTTGGAAGAATCAGTATCAGGAAACTGGACATACTGCCCAAAGTAATTTATAGATTCAATGCTATCCCCATCAAGCTACCACTGACTTCCTTCACAGAACTGGAAAAACCACCTTAAACTTCATATGAAACCAAAAAAGAGCCTGCATGACCAAGACAAACCTGAGCAAAAATAAATAAATAAATAAAATAATCCGGATGCACAATACCTGACTTTACACTATACTACAAGACTACAGGAATCAAAACAGCATGGTACTGGCAACAAAACAGAGATACAAACCAATGGAACAGAATAGAGGCCTTGGAAGTAACACCACACATCTACAACTATCTGATCTTTGACAAACCTGACAAAACAATGGGAAAAGCATTTCCTGTTTAATAAATGGTGTTTGGAAAACTGGCTAGCCATATGGAGAAAGCTGAAACTGGATCCCTTCCTTACACTTTATACAAAAATTAACTCCAGATGAATTAGAGATTTAAACTAAGACCTAACACCATAAAAACTCTAGAAGAAAACCTAGGCAATATATTCAGGAAAGAGGCATAGATAGGCAAGAACTTCATGACTAAAACACCAGAAGCATTGGCCACAAAAGGCAAAATTGATCAATGGGATCTAATTAAACCAAACAGTTTCTGCACAGCAAAGGAAACTACCATTAGAGTGAACTGGCAACCAACAGAATGGGAAAACATTTTACAATCTACCCATCTGACAAAGGGCTAATATCCAGAATCTACAAAGAGCTTGATAAGAAAAAAACAACCCCATCAAAAAGTGGGCAAGGGATATGAACAGACACTTTTCAAAAGAAGACATTCATGTGGCCAAAAAACATATGAAAAACAGCTCATCATCACTGATCATTAAAAAATGCAAATCAAAACCACATTGAGATACCATCTCATGCCAGTTAGAATGGCCATCATTAAATCAGGACACAACAGATGCTGGCAAGGATGTGGAGAAATAGGAACATTTTTACAGTGTTGGTGTTAGTGTAAAGTAGTTCAACCATTGTGGAAGACAGTGTGGCGATTCCTCAAGGATCTAGAAGTAGAAATACCATTTGACCCAGCAATCCCATTACTGGGTATATATCCAAAGGATTATAAATCATTCTATTATGAAGACATGCACGCGTATCTTTATTGCAGCCCTGGTCACAATAACAAAGACTTGGAACCAACCCAAATGCTTATTAATGATAGACTGGATAAAGAAAATGTGGCCCACATACACCATGGAATACTATGCAGCCATAAAAAAGGATGAGTTCACATCCTTTGCAGGGACATGGATGAAGCTGGAAACTGTCATTCTCAGCAAACTGACACAAGAACAGACAACCAAACACTGCATTTTCTTACTCATAAGTGGAGAACAATTAGAACACATGGACACAGGGAGGGGAACATCACACACTGGGGCATGTCAGTGGGTGGGGGGCTAGGGGAAGGATAGCAGGGGATGGGGACTAGGCATAGGGTAGCAGGAGAAAGGGGGCTGGGGAGAGATAACATTATGAGAAATACCTAATGTAGATGATGGGTAATGGATGCAGCAAACCACCATGGCACATGTATACCTATGGAACAAACCTCCACATTCTGCACATGTACCCCAGAACTTAAAGTATAATAACAATAATAATAAATAAAGTTCATATTAAACTTTGTATACATGGAATTAGTTTCCTGAATAGCAGGTTTTACTTTAAGATGAATGGGGGACATTAGATGTTTTTATTTCTAGACCCTTAAATATTTTATTTCTGAGTTTTTTGTTTTCTTTAGACGAAATATGTCCAGTATCTTTTTAATAGATAAGGATGTTGCCGGCGTTATTTATGCATGGAGCAGAGATGAGGTGGCTGAGGTCTAATTACCATGTATAAGTATTTGCAGTTAATCTCCCTTTTCACTCCTGTGCCTGGCCCGTATTTCCTGCAATTCCTGAGCTCCAAATGTCTTCAAATTCTCCAGAAAGTAAAGCTCCAAATTTCCCACCAATAATCTTCATTTCCTTATTTATGTTAAGGCAACAAGCAGCTAATAGAGAACTTCTCTAGGAATAGGAAAGTAGTGAATTCAATTCAAAGTTAGATTATTTAAAATCATTTATGATTACTTGGCTGTTGTTCAGCATAATCTCTTCCTTACTATTTGGAACATATAATATACTTTATTTAAAGTATGCATGATTTGGACTATCATTAGCTTTGTAAAAATGGTTTCATTGGGCTACAAAGGGACAATGTATCACAAATATAGGTCAGAACTGGACTATTTGTATATTTTCCTTCCAATGATAATTTTCAGCATAACTGAAAAATCAAGTTAATCTAGTGAAAATCGAGTTTTCCCAAATTGCCTCTGATACTATTCAAGTGTTATATTACAGCTACTAGTGATACCACAAGGGAAACAGTTCCTTGACTTGATCTGAAAATATAAGATTTAAATGGCTCCTTAGTTCTAAAAATAAAAAGTATATGACAATGCTAATAGCTAAAAGAACCAACCACTTCAAATTTTATGGTAAAACAGACAAAGAGTAGGCAGGATTCATGTCATTTCAAGTTTTCAGATTGCTATCTACCTGAAATTGATTCATCATAATCAATTTCATCACTAGGGTTTATTCTACCCTTACTAGACAAGTATTCATTTAATCAAATGGTTGTTAAGCTTTAATAGATGAAAAAACAACAAATATGTTTGTGATTGTGTATTTATATTTTTTATTATCTTTCTGAAGCAGTGTTACTAATATTTGTATATCCTTTTTATTTATTTTTCCTTTCTAAATAATTCAAGCTAAAGCTTCAGCTACTAGGCAATGTTTCTAATTGCTAACATATTTGGCTACTAATGATCTCATTAGGCATGGTTAAAGATAAATTATAAATTTTTGCATTGGCTTTAAATGCCCCTAATTCTTTGTGTGCCTCCTAATTGAGAAAGAAGTTTAGAGCTTCATGGGAGAGCTTAGTGGAAAATATTCTCCTTCATTCTTCCTAATCAAAGCACTTAACATGGATATCATGTTTACTCTAAGGTAATTTATAAAAGAAATGAAAATGGGAAAAAGGAAACCAAATAAAGAGAACCAACTACTTTTAAAAATCTTTACTTTTAGCAAATGTAGAAGAGGAAAAATATGATGCCTTTCATCACCCATCATAAGGGTCATAGCTGATATTCCTTCAACAAAAGACAGGTTAACAAGGAAAAACACAACGAACTTATTTAGTCAACTTTGTACATAACATAGAAGCCTTCACAAATGAAGACTCAAAGACCTAGGAGAAACTGTCTACTTTCATGCTTAGGCTTGATGAAAAATGGGCAGCTGTGCCATTCAGGACATAGGCATAGGCAAGGACTTCATGACCAAAACACCAAAAGCATTGGCAACAAAAGCCAAAACAGACAAAGGGGACCTAATTAAACTCCACAGCTTCTGCACAGCAAAAGAAACAGTCATTAGAGTAAACTGGCAACCAAGAGATTGGGAAAAAATTTTTGCAGTCTACCCATCTGACAAAGGGCTGCTATCCAGAATTTACAAAGAACTAAAACAGATGTACAAGAAAAAAACAAACAAGCCCCTTCAAAAGTGGGCAAAGGATATGAACAAATACTTTACAAAAGAAGACATACATGAGGCCAACAAACATATGAAAAAATGCTCATCATCATTGGTCATTAGAGAAATGCAAATCAAAACTACATTGAGATACCATCTCACGCCAGTTAGAATGGCGATCATTAATAAATCTGGAGACAACAGATGCTGGAGAGGATGTGGAGAGATAGGAACACTTTTACACTGTTGGTGGGAGTGTACATTAGTTCAACCATTGTGGAAGACAGTGTGGTGATTCCTCAAGGACCTAGAAATAGAAATTCCATTTGACCCAGCAATCCCATTACTGGATATATATCCAAAGGATTATAAATCGTTCTACTATAAGGACACATGCACACGAATGTTCATTGCAGCACTGTTTACAATAGCAAAGACCTGGAACCAACCCAAATGCCCATCGATGATAGACTGGACAGGGAAAATGTGGCACATATACACCATGGAATATTATGCAGCCATCAAAAACGATGAGTTCATATCCTTTGTAGGGACATGGATGAACCTGGAAACCATCATTCTCAGCAAACTGACACAAGAACAGAAAATCAAACACCGCATATTCTCACTCATAGGCGGGTGTTGAACATGAGAACACATGGACACGGGGAGGAGAGTATCACACACTGGGGTCTGTTGAGGGGAAATAGGTGAGGGACAGCAGGGGGTGGGGAGTTGGGGAGAGATATCATGGGGAGAAATGCCAGCTATAGGTGAAGGAGAGGAAGGTAGCAAATCAGACTGCCACATGTGTACCTATGCAACAATCTTGCATGTTCTTCACATGTACCCCAAAACCTAAAATGCAATTAAAAAGAAAAGAAAAAAATGCTAAAAAAATAAAAAAATAGCATTCAAACTCACCTCTCTCCCAGTATCTCTCGAAGCATATGACAAAGCATGTAAGAACTAATGAATAAATTCTAATTTAATTTTAAAAAAAAGAAGGAAAAGAAAAATGGGCAGCTGTGTAGAAATGTGGTTCTACAAAAGAGCTGACAGTGATAGACTGAGGGGGGACACCCAGCAAGGCCTGCTGGTTCAGACTCTTCTTGCCCTCTCTGTGCAGCCTTCTTTTCCCCAGCTACAGAGCAGAAATCCTCTGGAATGAGGGTCTTACAACCTAACTGCCAGACAAATCAGCGAATTTCTTTATGGCCAGTCCTTACAGAGAAAAGCAGGGAAAAGTTAGGGTTATATTTCTAGGTTTTATTCTGGCTTTGGGGGAGAGGAGTTCAAGTTTCTAGGACTCTTCTTAAGGAAGAGGAATTCCAGTTTCTATGGCTTTCTATGAAAGAGAGGACAGGGGAATGTTCTCAGGCTGCTTTTGAGGCCTTCCAATTTCTTTTAATTGAAAGTACTCAGCATGCCAAAGTGCTACACTTTAGGTTACTATTTTTTGAGCCCCAACACCAAACAGTTTTGTTATCTAAACACTCATGTTACTGAAATAATTCTAAATAATATTTAGAAAAACCCCTTATAACCTTGTAAACCAGAAAAGACACAGGCCATCAAATACAATGGTGGTGCATCAAAACATTTTTTTGTAATTTTTCTACTTACAAGCATAAAACTTTTATAATTCCATTTGCTTCCAAATAAAAAGGTATTTTTATTATAAAGTTGAACTCTGGTTAATGAGGATTACTGAAACATAAAGACTAAGTAAAGCACAAACTAGTAATTGATGCTAGAAGACATTAAAGTATAGCTTGGCATAACGATTTACTTTGGATAATTCATTTCTTTGAATCATATATTTTAGGCCAGCAATGTTGATTGATTTCAACTAAGCCTAGAAATTCCAGCAATATTAAAATGTTTTCTGTGGCCAGTATATTGTGTTAAATGAAAATATTCTGTGCTTTTTAGGAGAAGAAATGTTTAGAATAAAAGAATTAGAGAAGTATAGGAGAAAGGAGGAAATATGTAGGGATCTACTTGAAGCCAAATCCTTTGAATATGTTATCTTACTCACCACTGA